AGACATGGAAAAACTGAACTAACCGACTTTTTATTTTCCATACTGTAACACAAACCTGACAAGCCAGATATGAAATAATTGACCTAACCGACTTTTTATTTCTCATAACGTAACACAAACATGACAAGCCAGATATGAAATAATTGAATCCAACGAAATACATTTCCAGACGCTTGACCATTTTTGGTTTTATTATTATTATTATTATTATTATTATTATTATTTTTTTTTTTTTCCACAGTTGAAAACGCAAAAGTAAGCAAGAGTAGAAGGTTATTGGCCACCTTACATACATACCAACACGAAAACGGAAACGAAGCATAAATATAGACACAGCAATCCTTTTGGTCAAATGTGCGATGCACATGAAGGTTGGGGACTCGTGGTGAGATAACCGTAAAACAATACCGGTTCCCATTGGGCGGTGGGAATCTGGTCAGGCACTACCCTAAATTCTCCGCAAGGAGAGGGGTGGATAATGCAAGACAAAATGTCAGACCTAACATACTCAAGAACCTTGTTTTCAATTGACCAACCAAATGACCCAAAAGAGGAGGAGCACCAAGCGGTACGTAGATATCTTGAAGCTTGAAGGATAGACGCCGGTACAAAGTGTGGGGGGATTGTTGGTCAAGCTTTCGGCAGCGAAGGTCTACTCGGGAGCGTTAGTGGGGTAGCTACCCATGGTGTACCGTACAAACGTTGATGACCGTGACTCATTTATCAACCCTGGGTCGACTTAGACCGCCATCAGGGAAGATAGTGCTCTCTGGCGTCTACGAGGAGGAGATTTTTATGTTTGTATGTCATAAAAATCAAGGAAGAGACGGACATCCCGATGTGTGAGTGAGACCTTCTGTTATGCAAGCCACCCTTGAACATTACATGGGGAAAATGACCTCCCCGGAGGAAAGTACCCAGTACAGCAGCTGGGGCAAGTTGAGAGAAGAAACGGTCGTGGGACGCTTGGGTTGGTTACCGTGCAGATCGCCTGGCACAAACTTGGGGTACTTGTGCTAAGGGTGTTGAACTTGGCTCCAGGCTATGAGCCCGTGTTGGAGGCACTTTTTAGTGTCGGTGAGCCGCCAAAAGAATTGAAAGACACCAGACCCTCAACAAGTACTA